GGCTCAAAAGTATCCAATCTTTGTGGTATGGAACATCCTCCACATAAAAGTGAGGTAGCCTTTCAGACAGGACCTGGATGGTTCCCATCTTAGTCCCCTTTTCTGCCCCAGGGCCCAACATAATCTTGCACAGTCTCCTACACGAGAGCTGGCAAGCTCTGTTCTCCATCACTATCCCTCCATGATGCATAAGGAACCAAGTCCTGTTTTATGCCAGATCTATTGTTCAGGGTGATATACAAACAACACAAGCAAAACTTTTTTCTTGCTCATGCTGTGTGACCACAATTGATTCATATTATGCTTAGGTATGCAGAGAAAATGCAGCCTCTCCTTTCTCTGTAACAGATCTAGCCTTCCTCAAAAGTCTATACTTCACTGGAAGGGCAACGGCTAACTCAGTTAATACCATCCTAGTCTCTTCAGTGAAAACAGTTTTCTTTTGGTTTACAACAGTTCCTTCTTTCATGAATGCTCATTTGTTCTGAGTTGTCTTCACCCTCTCGCCTCCCAAGATGGCTTCTAGGTATGTGCCTTCAAGGGAAGGGCAGGGAACCTTGATCTGCATCATGCGGGGCCTGATGCTGCCTTCTGACCCTTGCTGGCCTCTGTGGTGGTGTGTTCCTTGCTTACCCTGGTGGCATCTGCCACAGAAATGTTCGTTCAGGGAAAGAGTGATCTAGTCTGTCTTGGCTTGGTCAGGACCTAGGGGTCCTCCCAGCTGACTTGCCTGCCTGTGTAACTAAAACCTCAAGCTAGATCTGACTGTTCCAGGGATAGGCACCTGACTGAAGCAGGGCCAATCAGAGACCCTCCCTGAAATTTTTTCAAACTGGAGCTAAGCAATCTGGTTCTTCTCTGGAGGGAATGGAAGCAAAACTATGAGATGGAAGGCTCAGTGCAGTGGGCAACTATGCTTGCTGCCCTGTAGAAGTTGGTATAGACCTGCAAGAAGAGACAGAGAATGTGAGAGCTGAAGAAACATTCAGATTTCTGGTCTAGGCTGTGTCTGAGGTCCTGTATCTCCTAATTTCTTCCTGTTTTTCTGCGAAATAGCCACACATCCTTCCAATAAATTCCCTGAATCCAAGCTAATTTGAGTTCAGCTGCTGACACTTGCAACTGAAATTTTAAAAACCCAAGCAGTATGTTTTTAATGACTTAATGACCATTCTAGCACTTGTGTATTTATAATTCCCATCAACCTTCCTTTACACCATTCCCCAAAGTATACTATGTTTATAGGTTGAAAATTATTGCTGGCAAACATGAGACAATTGAGATTTTTAAAAATTTCATTGGCCAGGTGTGGAGGCTCATGCCTGTAATCCCAGCACTTTGGGAGGCCAAAGCAGGCAGATCACAAGATCAGGAGTTCAAGACCAGCCTGGCCAATATGGTGAAACCCATCCCTACTAAAAATACAAAAATTAGCTGGGTGCAGTCGCAGATGCCTGTAGTCCCAGCTACTTGGGAGGCTGAGGCAGGAGAATCACTTGAACCCAGAGGCGGAGGTTGCAGTGAGCAGAGACTGTGCCACTGCACTCCAACCTGGGCGACAGAGTGAGACTCTGTCTCAAAAAAAAAAAAAAAAAAAAAAAAAATATATATATATATATATATATAGTGAAATGTAATACCAATACAAAAAACTACACAGAACATATATGTAACTTGCAAGGAATCATCACGAAGTTAACACAGCCGTGTCATTATTACACAGGTAAGAAATAGAACACTGCCTATACCCTTGAAGACCATCTCATTCCCCATACAAATAGTTACCATTTCCTCCTCCCCAAAAGTAATTATGCTCCTGACTTTTATGGTTATCACTTCCTTACTTTTCTGTTTTATCACCCAAGCATGCATACTTGAACCTTTACTTGAGTTCTACCATTCTTTGAACACTATGTAAACAAAATCATACAATGTAATTTGTTTTCAAAGATCAGACTTTTGCTTTGGATTATTTGAGACTTATCTAAAATTTACTGTAGCTGTAGGTCAGTCTTTTTTGTTGCTGCTTAGTATTCCATAACATGAATGAATACTCATTTACCTATCCATTTTGTTGATAGACATTTGGAGGTTTTTTTGTGCATTTTTGGCTATTATGGATAATGCTGCTGTGAATATTCTTGGTGAATACACGCACATTTTTACTGGCCATTTACACAAGAGTAGAATTGCTAGGTCATGAGTATGTATCTTTTCTCTTCTTTTTTGAGACACAGTCTCACTCCTGTTGCTCAGGCTGGAGTGCAATGGCGCCACCTCGGCTCACTGCAATCCCCGCCTTCAGAATTCAAGCGATTCTCCTGCCTCAGGCTCCTGAGTAGCTGAGATTACAGATGCATGCCACCATGCCCAGCTAATTTTTTGTATTTTCAGTAGAGATGGGGTTTCACAATGTTGGCCAGGCTGGTCTCGAACTCCTGACCTCAGGTGATCCACCCGTCTTGGCCTCCCAAACTGCTGGGATAACAGGTGTAAGTCACCATGCCCAGCAGTATCTTTTTAAATGGGTAGATAACACTGATTATTTTTTGTAACTGACTGTTCCAGTTTACATTCCTACCAGCATTTTATGAGTTTCTCTTGTTTCATATCCCCACTAACACTTGTCTTTTTAATTTTAGCCATTTTTGTGTGTGTGCTGTGGTGTATCACTGTGGTTTGAATTTCACTTCTTCCTTATTATTAATGGAACTGAACACCCTATTGCCTGTTTATTGGCCATTTTTCTACCTCCCTTTTTGAAGCCCATTCTATAGGCTCTCATGATTCTCTTCTCCTCTGGAAGTCTCTTGGCCATTTTTCTATTTGTTTGCCTTTTTTCCTTAATGATTTGTAAGAGCTCTTTATATATTTGGATAAGAGACCTTTCTACGTTGGATATACATATAGAAAACATCTTTCGCCCTGTGGCTTGTCTTTTCACTCGCTTAATGGTGTCTTTTCAGTAAGAGATTCTTAATTTAGATGTATTCAGATTTATCAATTGGGAGTTTAAAACAATGCATCTGATAGAGCAACTGGATTCAGTAGTGCAAAATAAAATTCTAAATTCAGTAAAATGAACTTATACACTCTCTGGCTAACCTAACACTGCACATTCTTTCCTTGGAATGTCATTTCCGGAATGGCAATTTTTTTTTTGTTTGAGACTTGAGTCTTGCTGTGTCATCCAGGCTGGGGTGCAGTGGCGCCATCTCGGTTCACTACAACCTCAACCTCCTGGGTTCAAGCAATTCTCCTGCCTCAGCCTCCCAAGTAGCTGGGATTACAGGCGCCTGCTACCACGCCAGACTCATTTTTTGTGTTTTTTGTAGAGACAGGGTTACACCATGTTGGCCAGGCTAGTCTTCAACTCCCGACCTCAGGTGATCCGCCCACCTTGGCCTCCAAAAGTGCTGGGAGTACAGGCGTGAGCCACAGCGCCCAGCCGGCAATTTTTTAAATAATAAAAAATTCCATTATTTTACATAGCATTGAGATACACTTACAATATTTAATTCTGCCTCTTGGTGGTGCCATAGAAAACTAAGAGTAATAATTTTTAAAATTATTGTTCTGAAAGTTTGCTAGACAGTGGGATCTGACTATGAGCAAATTGAAAACTATGAACATTTTTTAAAAGTTTGTAATTCTCTTACACACTACAATGGCTGAAAATTCACTATAAAATTCCTGGCTAATAGTCAAATAAAAATAGCATTAATACTTTTTTACTCATGAAAATTTTCAAGCATTCTAAAGTGCCAATATAATATTCCTCTACCTATTACCTAGATAATAAACGTTAAAATGTTGTTATACTTACTTTAAAAAATTAAAGAAATGAGAAAGTTTATGCTCCCCTCATCTCCTTTCCCCACTAAAGGCAACTACTATCCAGAATTTGATGTGTTCCCTTCCGGTTTTTGTTTCTGTATTTTTAGTACATACGTCCATTAACAACAAAAATGTTACTTTGTATTTTAAAAAGTATCCTTTCATACTATAGTATACTGCAATTTGCTTTTTACATTTGACATGGTTTGCCATGTTTATATACACATATATAGATCTAGGTTATTAATTTTAACTGCCACATTGTAATTTATGGCAAACATATACCCTATATTTACTAATTTCTCTATTAATGAACACTGTAATGCTGCAACGCATCCAATACCTAGAACAGTATCTTTAAAACATTTAAATGAAGGAGGCAGGCTTTTAATTCAAGCAATGTCCGCATAAAATTTCTCAGGCAGACTATTTTTGCTTCAATTTTTTTTTTTTCGCTGTTCATATCTACTCTGCATGCATAGAACGAATAAATACCTGAAATTTCCTAAAGGTCTTTTACTCAGTCCCCAGAAAAAAGCTCTGATGTGGTATGTGTAATGGGGGAGGAGTGGGCGGATGAGGTGGGTAGAGACGGACACAAAGAAATGTCAATGACAATATACAGGACAGTGAAAGTTTGGAGCCAGGGCCAGTGGCAGCGGCAAAAGTTACCAATTTGGGGGAGGTCTGAGAGTTTACAGTGCAGGTGCTATAATATGCGGATAACAAAATAGCCGAATACACAAATCTTTCCATGCTTGTGAAAGACGTAACGATCTAGCGACAGACGGTTGCCATGGAAACCCGGGGCTGCGGGGAGTCGGCCAGAATTCTTGATGCGCTTAGAATGTTTCTTCTTCCGGCCCTCTGCTCTTCGCAATTATCGTCCCTCTCCTAGGTCCTACGCCCATTTTATAGGCTCTCATGATTCTCTTCCCCTCTTGATTCTCTCGTTGTGCGTTCCAGGTCGCCATCTTGGACCATGCGTCAAGATGGCGCCCCATGGTCCCAGAGGTACAGCCCAGGCATGCCGGTGACGCTACGCACGCACGTATTCGGGTGCGAAGGGTGGGGCAGTGACGCCAGACGTCGCCCCGCCCTCTGTAGTCGCTCCGCCCCCGGCCCCACTCCGCCTTCCTCCCACCCCGCGAACCCGGAAGTGGAGGAGGAGGCGCGGCGGCGGCGGTGGCCAAGCAGGCAGAGACTCCCTGAGCCGTTCCCGGGAGCGTGTCTGGGTTTGGGGGCGGGAGACAGGCTGAGCCGCCTGGGCGGCCTGGCCTGTACGGGGAGGGGGAGGCCATGGCCTCGGCTGAGTTGCAGGGGAAGTACCAGAAGCTGGCTCAGGAGTACTCGAAGGTACCCATCGTGGTCTGGGAGTAGGGGGTCCCCCGCCCTGCGGCCTCGGGTTGCCGTGGCAGCGACTTGTCGGGACCGAAGGGTACCGCGGGAGGGGCACGCGAGCGCGCCCCACCTTTCCCCTCCGCCGCCTCCGTCCACCATTACGGTGCCTCCACCTGCAGCTCCTAGGAGATGGGGCCGGGCGGTGTCTGCGTCCGTGAGCGTTTCTGCAGGAAAGAGCTGGAGTTTTATTCTTGCTTTTTACTGAAGTAGCAGGCTTGGGACTGGGATGTCAGAAATTCTGGCTTCTTGCCTCTAATGCTGGCCGAGAAGGGAAGGGAAAGGTGTGGACCACTCCTCCCCTCGCTGATTCCTCAATTTTCTCAGCCTAGGGATGGGGAAGATCAACCCTTCTCCCCTCCCACAGGGATGATATGAGGTTAAAGAGATTTATCTTCCCCCGAATCAATTCGAGAGGGTGGAGACATTCGGGTAAACTGCTTCACTAGGGATGGGTGGTTATGAATGTATTCACTGCTTTGGCAAGAGGTTGTCAGGAATGATTTTGAAAGCTTGAGTGCTACGGCTCTATTCTTTCTCTTGTCCCTCGGTCACCTGGAATGGGGTAGACACCCAGCAGGTGCTCAATACATGTTAAGCAACATGGGGACCTGCCCCTTTGTCGTGTTTGTGGCATCAGTCTCTTAAATGATAGAACCCTTTCCTTGGAAAAGAATGCTGCAGTTTCTGGGTAGGGTGTTTCTAGTTTAAGAATATTTTAATGAAGTTATTAAAGCAGAATTTTACATCTTTGGAAATTGATTCAACAATTATTAAGCTTAGTTTTCCGTGATCTTGGCATTCATGGAGTCAATGGGAAGATGGTAATCCCTTTTTGCAATTTGGAGAAACTGAGACACATTTTATACCTTAGGATTTCATTCAACAAATAGCAAGATGAAATATTCTTTGAAAAATAAAACCAGTGCCTAAACATACACACTTAAGTCCTCACCATCAAATAGGAATATTTTGAGATACTATACTTATTTCAGTGATGCTACCATTAGCAAAACTTTGTTGCATTTCCATTTGAAATTGTCTTAACAGCCTGTGGCACAATGTTAGTGATGGCAAGGCTTCATTTTTTGAAGGAGTATTTCCTTGCTTGAAGGGCCAGAAGTTGTTTGGAACAAATCCATGTGATGAAGGGAGGTGGGTGGAGGTTGGCAATGCTCAAATTTGGCTCTCCTATTTTTGGTTGAAAATGTTTCATGATCAACACCTGTGAAAAGAAGGAAAAAAATAAGAAAATGTTTCGTGAGCATAAAGGGAGGGGACTGATTTTCTTCTCCAGAGAGCCAGCAGGCTCAGACGGCCATTCCAAATGGCAAGAGGGGCGTTCGAAAAATGTTTTGAGTAGGGACTACATTGCTGAAATAATTGTATAGCCTCCCAAAGTAATAAAAACTGAAAAGTTTTTGGATATGTAAGCTTGTTCAACACACAGTATGTGCCCCCTGTGAGCAGTCTGCCAGGGTCTGTTGAGTGAGGCAGGGTTCCAGCTTAACAAGTCACCTTTAATGGAGTATTCTAACGTAGTACATAGTTATGATATAGTATGACAAGTGTCAGTTCAGTGGGACTACCGAAGACATTGGGTAAACGTTGAGGTTATAGTGGGGATTAGAGAAGAGGAAATGAGGGAGTGGTAGCTTTCCAGGCAAAGGGAACAGTCCATGTTTGCTGGTATGAAAGTTCATTAAGATTAATTTTAATGAGCCTTCACACGGCAGAGAGTGGTGAAATGAGGTTGGAGAGATAATTTGGACCCCATCGTGAAAGGTTGTGAATGTCAAATAAGAAGAGTGAACTTTACCTTTTGAGTAATGGAGAGACGCCAAAGGTTAAGCAGGGGAGTGACGTTACTTTTAGGGCACTGATAACTGTGAAGGATGGATTGAAATAGGGAAAGATTGGTGGGGAAAAGAGCAGACAGTAGACTGTTGAAATAGATTTTGGGAGAGTAATGTAGGTTTGTATAAAGTTAATGACTTCTGGGCTGTAGAGAAGGGGCTTGATTCAGGAATTATGGTTAAAAAATGCTTTTCAGCTTTCCTTTTTTTCGAGTGCCTGCTATGTGCATGGCACTAATGAAAGATATAAGGCATTCATCCTTGCGTCTCATTCATTTTGGGACTTGGTGAGTGTGGGAAGACTCAGAGTTGTCCCTGCAGTTCTGAGCCACTGACACAATGAGGGCTGGCGGGAAGAAGAGCCCCTTCAGAGTGAAGGGCTATAAGGGAGGTTAGATACAGTCTAGGAATTTTAGAGTTGGAAGGCACACTAAATTTGTTATTCACGTATGAGGTGATGTTGGAAGTAATGACTGAAACTTTCTAATGGAGATGGACTGACTAAAAGTCAGGACAAAGGCTAGCACTTTTGGAGTAAGTCCCATCACGATGCACTTTGAGAGTTAATTAGGTTGGAAATTGGGAAACACCTGTGGGAAGGATGTGCCTGGAGGAGGAAGAGATGCTAAGGAGACTGTAGGAGGCCTGCCAGACTTGGGGTCATCTCCCCTATTGGACCATCCCAGTTTTTATTCTTTTAATTGCAATGTGATGGGAATTTCAGAATACAAGAGAACAGATCCTGAAAAAATAGATTTCTTGTGCTTTTTATTCCCTGTCAATTCTAGTAGCAGGCAATTTCTGGATAAGATCTGTGCTCTCTCCAGCCCTGTGCCTAAGGGTATTCCGCCTTTTTATTACCTTCCCTGGTACAAGTATCGTGGGCTGATGTTGAAATCCAGTTGCATAATTTTTCTGCCTTATTTAGGATACAAAGGAAAAAGATGTCCTCTTAATCTGTAGAAGGAAGCCCATCAAGAGAGCAGCAAGCATGATCTCTAAGCCAAGGACACTGGCAGAGTCTTACTCTTCTTTAATGCAGATTTCAGCCTTTGTTCCAGGAAAAGTCCCACCACTCAAAATCTTTCCTCTTGAAAAGGAAGAAAAAAAAAAAAAAAAAAAGAAACAAATAGTGGTCTGAGGAGCTCCCATTACAGAGTGTCCAGTTAGATAAAAGATGAACTGTGGAGGTCAAAGCAGATGAGAATTGCTGAGGCAAACAGGTTGCTAAAAGAAAGTGTTATGGAAAGGTTAGTAAAAAGGGAGTTTAAGACCCAGTGGTTTGGGCAATTAGAGGGTCATTTGAGGTTTTTAAAATTTCAGGTTCAATTGAGTTTGGGGAGGGAGAATGAATGTGTGTAGAGGTTGGTTTTCAGAGGTGTGTGATGTTAATAAATAACAGATGTGAGTTACCTCCTTGAGATGTGAGGGAAAGTTAATCAAGACCTCAGTTGCTATGTCATGGATTAAGGATGAACAACCATTTCTGACTTGCTGTTTCTTCCATGACCTGCTGAGCTTCTGATGCTCTGTTGTATCTCATTGTGGAGAAGAGAGGCAAAAAGTGCTCAGTTCTGGCTTATTTGATTTTAGCCTGCTTTCTTTATGGGAGCACTCTTGCCTGGCACCGTGGTATGTGTGTAAGCAAGTTTCAAGTTCTAACTGTCTTCCCAATGTTTGTGTTACCCTGGGTCAGTGATTCTCAAAGTGTGGGACCTGAAACAACATCATCTGGGAGTGGGTTTGAAATGTAAATTCTTGGGTCCACCCTGCGCTACTGCATCTGAAGCTAGCAGTGAGACCCAGCAATCTGTGTTGTAACAAACCTATCCAGTGATTGGATTCATGCTAACATGTGAAAATCATTGCTCAAGGAATGGTATTGGGAGAGTAGCCTTGGCAGAAATAAAGATAATCTTTTTAAAGTTTTTTTTTTTGTTTTTTTGAGACAGCGGATGCCAGCAGGAAAGCTAAACATCCATTATTTCTCTACAGTTTACTTTGCAATTGATGCTTCCTTTACTTGCAAAGGGGATTGCCTTTGGGAACTTTTTAGACTTCTACTCTTAGTACACAGCTCCTCATATTGAGAAAGGATCAGTTTTGATCCAGCATGTTTGCTCTCCAGATAACAGGATTTGGCAGTACCTGATTTATCACCGACTTTTATAGACTCAGGAGCTGGATAGGATTCAAATTGAGTATGAGCTTTTTTTTTTTTTTTTTTTTTTGACCCTGATGTGTAGGTAGAATTCACTAGTAAAGTTGGATTGGAAAACAGGTTTGTGTTCAGTGCTATCCGATGGAAGTTTCCAAGAGAATGAAAATGTTCTGTATCTGTGCTGTCCAGCAAGGTAACCACTAGCCATGCATGGCTGTTGAGTGCTTGAAACGTAGCTAGTGTGTGACTGAGGAACTGAATTTTAGGTTTTATTTAATTTGAATAATTTAATTTAAATAGCCACATGTAGCTATTGAGTACTCTGTTGGACGGTGCTAGCTTAGACCCTGGGTCTGTGCATCACAGACATAAATGTCTAAATTACTCACTTGAAGACCTTGTTAAACTGCAGATTCTGGGTTAGTAGGTCTGGGGTGGGGCCTGAGATTCTGCTTCCAGGTGATAGTATTGCAGTTGTCCAAAACCACACTTGGGGCAAGGCCCTGGAAAGACAAGGGGCAACCTCCTCTTCCTCTTTAGTTTAACTGATCTACTCACCGGTTCATGGAGGGTCAGCTAAACTGCAAGGCTTGGGGTTTTGTGCTAGTGAGTTTCCCTGCATGGGAGCAGGAGCAGGAGAAAGGATGCCATTTGAGGCAGATGTGAATTTTTTCCTGCCTCAGTGACAAAGTAACCCCAGCTACTGCATAAAATGTAGCCTGCACATACTTCATCCCTGTCCTGGAATAGGAACAAGTAAGTAGGCAGAAAGAAAGACTAAGTAGGATTCCCAGTAATTTGGAATACTTAAAATGTTAGAACTGGAAGGAGTTTTAGGGGTCATCCAGGCCAGATACTGCAGCTAGGGTCTGCACATGACTTCAGTATTCTGAAGCTTTGAATCGGGGTTTTAGTGTGGCGTGGGGTTGTCTTGCACACATCACTGTATATTGAAGAAAAGACTGTATGTTTAAAGGTTTATTTTATAGGGTTATAAAATATGTATAAATGTCAAAAAAAAAAAAAGTCCATTGCATGAAGACGGTCATGTAAAAGTGGTTCTAACACAGAAGATTTTGAGATTAGCTGAGAAAATGCATATGAGTGGTTCATCTCACTTTCTCCACAAATTCTTCCAACATTTTGTGATTGAAGGTAATAAATCCCCAATCTTGGGCCATTTAGCCTATCACATATTGTCAGAGTGGCATGAGAGAAGTCATGGTGAGCTTACCACCACTCTCTGTCCTAGGAGAAACAGCTGTGTGATAGGCCTGACTGAAGCTGGACTATTCCAGAACGAGAGTTACAGAGAGCAGGTCTGGGCACTGGTCATTAGAGAGTTAGGCTCAAGCCTTTTAAGGATTCTTGGTGTCCAATAGGACCATGAGGTCCACATTATTTGGAGAGTCTTCAAAGAGAACTGTTAAAGTAATGGCAATCCCTTATATAATGTATTACATTTAAACACCTTTATATGTGGTATAACTTATTAATTTGATTTGATTAATTTGATTAATCAAATTAACTGATCTGATTAATTAACTAAAAATTTATTGAGTTCCTTCTCTATCCATAGCATTGATCTTTCATTGCAGGCAGGAAATACAAGGAAGTATACTGTAGTCTTTACCATGGAGAACAGTTTAAGTTGGCAGGTGGGAAATGAATACAGAAATTGATTGATTGATTGATTGATTTGCTCTGTCTCCCAGGCTGGAGTGCAGTGGTGTGATCTTGGCTCACTGCAACCTCTGTCTCCTGGGTTCAAGCAATTCTCCTGCCTCAGCCTCCCGAGTAGCTGGGATTACAGGCGCCTGCCACCGTGCCTGGCTAATTTTTGTATTTTTAATAGATACGGGGTTTTGCCATGTTGGCTAGGCTGGTTTTGAACTCCTGACCTCAGGTGATCTGCCCACCTTGGCCTCCCAAAGTGCTGTGATTACAGGCGTGAGCCACCGCGCCCAGCCTATACAGAAATATGTATATTAGTAAAATGTAAACTTTACTGATTTTAGAAGTAAAATTAAAACTGAATAGTTTAATAAGAGATGTTTTGTTGTTAGTAAATGCCAAAGGAACTGAGGCACAGACTCTCTGTGGGCCATAGGGAGTCAGGGAGTGATTAGGAAAAATTATGGAGGATGTAGGGCCAGAGGTAAAAAGCAGGATCCTAGAGAACAGGTGGGATTTGGTTGGCCAAACTGAGGAAGGGCTGTGCTTTCAAAGTAAGGGTAAAATGAATCAGAAGATTACAAAACAAGGAAATATGAGATTTAAAAGGATTAAGAGGGATTCAGAGGTACTCTTCCCCCACTGAATGGCACAGAAGAGCTTGGTGCACAGCTGTTGAAAATAAGTTCTATCATCTGCCGGAGAGTTTTTCTGAGACTTCAGGGCAATTGTTTCTCAGTTATGTCATATGCATTGGAGTCTCCATTCTGGACTCCTAGAGGCAGTAGTGACCATCTGGTAATCTTATACCTACATCTGAAAGAGAAACAGCATTCATTTGCCTCCCCTCTGTGGTGAATACTGGTGCAGAGAAAGATAGATTCTAAAAGACCAGGCTGGCTGGATGTGGTGACTCACGCCTGTAATCCCAGCACTTTAGGAGGCTGAGGCAGGCAGATCACTTGAGGCCAGGAGTTCAAGACCAGCCTGGCCAACGTGGTGAAACCCTGTCTCTACTAAAAATAAAAAAGTTAGCCGGGTGTGGTGGTGCATGCCTATCATCCCAGCTTCTCGGGAGGCTGAGGCAGGAGAATTGCTTGAACCCAAGAGGTGGAGGCTGCAGTGAGCTGAGATCACACCACTACACTTCAGCTTGGGCAACAGAGTGAGAGTCAGTCTCAAAATAAATAAATAAATAAATAATTAATTTAAAAAATCAGGCTAATAAGAGCAGCTCAGCATTTTATAAGCTACTCATTCAATAATGCAGTAGGAGTGGCAGAAGTGATGCTGAAATGCAGAAAAACGTCAAATGCCACAAAGAGTAGTTAAGATGGCAGTAGAGTATGCAAGCTTATCATCTTCCTCCATTTCTACCTACTAAGTAATAGAAAGGTGTTTCAGATAACAGTTTCTTAAAAAGCTGCATTGTCTATTAAATGGTTTCATTGAAACCGTGTTTGAGTTACCAGTTTAGCAAAAAATATTTTCCAAAGGAAAATCCTAATTTTTTTTGTTATAATCAGTTATATTAAATTCCTAACAGCAATAGCTTGAAAGTTTCATTTTGCTTTTTAACAAAGCAGTCTGTTCAGTTTGCTTTAAATACTCTTCAGTGTGCCTTAGGAATGAAAGATGAGGTTATTTTTCTTAAAATTATTTGCTGTCGTTCTGGTCCTACAGGAAATTATCAATTCAGTGAACTTCAAGCTTCGTTCTTAGTCCTTGAAGTAGTCATTAGGAGCTTCTAAATACCACACAATGAAGACATGTAAGAGATTACAGATTGCAGCTAAGACAGGGATATGAAATAAAATCTAAAGACTTTAGATTTATGAAATAAAATCTAAAGACTTTAGATTTATGAAATAAAATCTAAAGACTTTAGATTTATGAAATAAAATCTAAAGACTTTAGATTTATGAAATAAAATCTAAAGACTTAGTAGAACACTGCTTCATGGAAATCAACATTAAAGTGGTATTTCTCTCTTTTGAACTTCTAGAGCAGAGGTTACCAAACTCTGTAAGAGGCCACACAGTAAATATTTTAGACTTGAGGCTATGTGGTTTCTGTTGCAGCTACTCATGTCTTCCATTGTACCTCAAAAGCAACCATAGACAGTACGTAAATGAATGAGTATGGCTGTGTTCCAATAAAACTTTAAAAATAGCATGCCAGTTTGGCCCTCAGACCTTAGTTGGCCAACCCAGGTCAACTACTTGGCCAACCCAAGTAGAAGAGAATTTAATATCTTTTACTTTTTTTTTTCAAGCAGGAAATACTAGTATTGCTAGTTATCTTTTAATATTTTATCTTCTCTTTTAAAGTGTAAGTTCTTTGAAAATAGAGACCACATCTTTTACATCTCTCCCCCATATCAATCAAGGTGTACAATGACTTACACCATGCAAACTATAATAAAAGTATCTGTTGTCATTTTGAATCTGTTCTAATCATAAGTGTTCTGTTTCCATTTGTGGAGCATTTTATAGTTTAAAAAGTGCTTTGACATAGGTTTCTTATCTGGTTCTCACAGTAGCCTCAGAAGAAGGAAGATAGGGTAAATGAATTTACCCATTCTATAGACCATATAGCTGAAGCTCAGAAAGGTTAAGTGAATTTACCAAGTTTATATCGTCTAATAAATGGCAGAGCAAAGATTTGGATCTGCTTTCTATTGTGGTAATGAACTGTCATCTCTAACTTTCTAAAAATAGAAGAATCTCATCTTTTTAGTCTGTCTTTTGCTTAAAGTGTTGAATATCCTGCAGTATTCTTGCATTTTATCTCAGAATCTTAGCTAAATTTTCCATTGAGTTTTAAATACTCAGTTTAAGATTTAGCATGCAAATATGCCTGTTCTTTTGGCACAGAAAAGGGTCGTTTCTGTTCTCTGTTCTCAGGAGACAGATCTGAGTTATGCAGAATTAGAAAGATTTTTAAAATTTTTTTATTTTTAATTTTAGAAATAGATTTTTTTTTTTTTAAAGCTCATATAGAAGGATGTCTCATTCTTTCAGTTTCTCAGAGAAGAACCTGGTCTTTCATGATTTCTGCACTGAGCCCTGGGAATATTAGTCTGTAAACCTCTTGCTTCAGCTGCAATGAACTTGTATATTTGTACTTAAGTGCTCTATGTTCTTTTCGCTGAGAATGTTTTCCTCTTACTACAGAAGTAAATTTTATCTTTTAAAACCCTGTCAGTGGTGGTTGTATAGATGCATACATAAGTAAAAATGCATTTAGTTGCGTAATTTCTGATTTGTATACTTTATTTAAAATAACGTTGTTTCTCAATATTTAATAATTAACTGTGAAAAAAAGCCCAAGTTTTACCTCTTTCTCGAAAGGCATCTCTCACCTCTCCAGCTCACTGCTTTTTTCACTTACATGTAGCTTTGTGAAATAGCCAATATTGTCTAATTGGCATTATGACTTTGGAGTCCAAACTGGTAGAGTCTGAATCTCAGCATTGCTAATTAACTTCTTTGTGCCTCAGTTTCCTCATCTGTAAAATGGAGGTAATTAGAGTACCCACTTCATAGGATTGTGAGGATTAGATGGAGTAATACATGAAAGTACTTAGGACGGTGCCTGGTTTGTAGTGAGCATTCAAATGTAAGTGGGTATTATTATTAACTTCTGAATGGAGCCTGCTTCTTAGTTGCTTTTGTATACTGCCCCAGCTGATACCTGAAGCCATTGTCGATGATGACATTTGCATGTCTAATATTAGGCACAGTCTCCTGCTGGGTATGGGGATGCCCCAACATTTTTATTTTCTGTGGAATTCTTACTTAATAATTAGTCCAGTTGTATGTATTTTACAAATGAATTGTGTGTCAGAATTTCAAGGAACATGGCATATTCAGTACCCTATTATTTATTGTATTCGTTTTTATTTAGGGATGGGACTTGGTTTTATAGAAAGAGTGACACACTAGAATTTAGGAGACTGGATTGTAGTCCCAGTTTTGCCATTGATTTTTGTTATGTCATTGGGCAGCTCAGCCTGTGTGTCCTTATCTGTAAAATGGTGAATTATTCTATCTACTACCCTCTTTGGGTCTAATACTTTTTTGTTCTCATATATTTGTGAGAAGCTACTTAGTTACTCAGTGTAATGTAATGTTGCCTGTAAAATTGATGTGATTTCCTTGATATAACCAATTGCTTTATATGAGAAATTAATTATTGCTTTCTCTGTTTTCAGCTTCGGGCTCAGAATCAGGTTCTGAAAAAAGGTGTTGTGGATGAACAAGCAAATTCTGCAGCTTTAAAGGTGGGCAACAGGATATTTGTGTTGTGAGGGTTGTTAGCATTTGGTATTGCTCAAAACAGGTTCATTGGGTTTTCTGGGTTAAAGTTCCAACTCTGACACTGATTCACTAGGGATAAGGGACAGTAATACAGTTTTTTTGTGGTTAATTTTCCTACTTGCTTAGGTAAGAATATGAGGTACGTTACTTTCCTTAGCTAAAAATTATAAAAAAGATATGTGACTTTGTCTAGTGCCTTACTCCTGTGCCTCAAGGCCTTCAGTTAGCTCAGTTTATCTGGATTATTGAGGCTTCTTATCAGTTGTCATCAGAGAGCTCTCTGAGGGAGGCTATGTCGTATTCCTATTTGAATCCCTCTCACTCAGCAGATGGGAGGTCTCTAATAAGTAGATTCCATTGTGTGAATCATTTAGTCCCTAAATCTTGCCTTTAGTTGAGCTATTTAATAGTAATAACCTGTGTTAATCAGGATACTCTGAGCGATACATTTTACCATCAGCACTTTTGTTAACTGAGGGGAGAAATATGATAGACGAAGGCATTTGTTTCTGCCTCATTTCTAGTAGGCATGTAGTAAATATTGCTTAGTGATATTTTTAAATGGATAAATTAATCCTAGGATTTGGATTTCTTCTTGGCCAAGTTTCAGTTAAATATACTGTCTAGCTCACTCTTTTGCTCTTTCCCTTTCTTGCTCCCTCTGCTCTCTTTAGACAGATGGGATTAGGATTCTTCTTACTCCCATCTCTTTCTGGAGAAGCCCCTGATCAGTAATATGTCTAAGGTGGCTTCACTTAGGCAACTAAGCCACAGAAATTGTCGTTTTACGTAGCCAGTTGTTGGATCCTATAGGAGAGAAATCTGTCTCTGAGTATCTCCTCCTTAGGTGCGGTTAGCACAGTCTCAGGGCTGAGATGGTTCTGAACACCCCACCCATACTTCCAGGCTCTCTGCACCCAAGCCAAGATGATTAAAACAGAGGCTTTATAGTCAGGATTTATTAGTCAAGTTATTATTTTACCAAAATTGTTGAAGAAATGATCATTATATCTCCCAATAATATTTAAACTTATTGCTGGGGAAGGTCTTTCCTAGTTTGTCCTAGTAGCCTGCACTGGTGTTTCATACCCTCCTGTTGCTGGTTGTGTTTGATTAACTCTGTGATGGCAGCAATGGTAGGAACAGTGGTAGGAGTGGTGACAGCTGGTTCTATTGATTGAGCACTCACTATATACCAGGCATTGTGCTAAGTACATTATATCCATTATCTCATTTAGTGTTCACAACAACCCTATGAGTTCAGATAACATTATCATCCCCATTACAGAAACTGGAATTTAACGAAAGGCTGGGATAGATGTTTTCTGAAATTAATGATTGGCTAATGGAGTTGGAGCGTTAGTTCATTTTAAGAACTAGAAGCATAATTGTATATTATAATTATAAGAATATAAATTATGAGAAAAAATAAATTTTTTATTTTAATATTTATTACAGTAGTCATTGTAATTATAGTACACCAAGTGACAATATGCCAGTTTGCTAGACAGGAATTTTAGGATGTCCTGTGTTACAGTAGGCTTTTAATTTTATTACTGGGTTTACCCCTTCAGTGAGGTATAATCAGTGTTCATTGATTTGAAGTTTTAAAATTTGAAAGACATGATGGTTTGGACATGGGCTTGGCCTAAATTTACCTTTGAGCTACAAGTGAAAATTAAGGTTTTACTAAACAAATGTAGGAAAAAAATGATTTTCTCCTTAACAGGAGCATATTCTATCCCTCTAGCACTGTTCTCAACATGCAGGTAATGTCAATAGAGTATAGACACTAGTCTGTGGTTTTTAGGTTGCTGTTCCACAACCTAAATCGTGCAGGTAGCACGATCTCGGCTCACTGCAACTTCTGCCTCCCTGGTTTGAGCGATTCTTGTGCCTCAGCCTCCTGAGTCACTGGAATCACAGGCATGTACCACCCTGCCTGGCTAATTTTTGTATTTTTAGTAGAGTCGGAGTTTTGTCATGTTGGCCAAGCCAGTTTCAAACTCCTGACCTCAAGTGATCGGCCCACCTCAACCTCCCAAAGTTCTGGGATTATAGACGTGAGCCACTGCACCTGGCCTAGGTTGCTGTTTCAATATAGTTAAATCATCTGTTCATTAAAGCATGACCTTCATGTTTTATAATTGTTTCAGTGACACTGGTAAACATACAGTTCTTTATTTTTTTATTTTTTATTTTTTTAAATAGAGATGAGGTCTCACTATGTTTCTCAGGCTGGTCTCCAACTTCTGGGCTTAAGCAGTCCTCCTGTCTTGGCCTCCCAAAGTGCTGCGATTACAGGCATAAGCCACCGTGCCAGTCCAGTTCTTTAAATACACAGTATTATGTGGCCATCTGTGTTTGATAATCAGTGAATAAAAAGTTGTCAGAACATCATAAGTAAAATATAGTTAGAATAATTCTTTTAAAAAATAGAGTAAAAGTAAATATTTCTCATTAGTTTCCCATTTTCTTACCCCATTATGGCATAAACAGAACAAAGTGGTCAGCAGAGGGTGTGTCAAAAAGGTTAGCAGAATATTTTAGATTTTGTTTCTATTGTCATTTAGCTTTAAAGTGAATTATTGTAGGACAGCATCTGAAAATATTTTTGGTATGATACTGATTTTTATCTTTGATATGTCAGAATAGTTGAAGAAAAATTAAGTGTGTTGCAAAGACTTTATTTTGACTAATTTAAATTTAGGGAGGATTTACAGAAAAACTGGAATACAGATATATTTCTTCCCATTCTTGTTCACTGAAGGGAATCATCAGTAAATCGGAGGTTCTTTTTAAATACCCAAGTTCGGCCAGGCACGGTGGCTCATGCCTGGAAACCCAGCACTTTGGGAGGCCGAGGTGGGTGGATCCCCTGAGTTCGGGAGTTTGAGACTAGCCTGGCCAACATGGCGAAACCCTGTCTCTACTAAAAATACAAAAAAGTTAGCCAGGAGTGGTGGTGTGCGCCTGAAGTCCCAGCCACTTGGGAGGCTGAGGCAGGAGAATCACTTAAACT